ACTGTATTTTGATGCCAAGTTTATTGAAATACATTGATAACAAATTTGTTTAATTAACCTTTAAATGTAACTCTGTAAAAGTTATGACATTTACATTCTGAACACCACCTGTGCACATAAGGTTAACCCTATTGCAACTGGTTTTCCTATGGTCAGAAGTCAAGGGGCATGTCATCACATTTGAAGACTTACATTTAAAATGTTATTGAACTACTATTTTATGAATGTATATCGATAAGTTTGGTATCAAATTGTATATTATGATTCAAATGTTAGTATTATACATTAGTTAATCTCTTAACTTAAAAGTAAATACAAAAAAAAAATCTAAATATCAATTTTTGTGTTACGTGGTATGTTGAATGCAGTGTTGGTTCAAATTAGATTATTATGATGTCCAAGTACAAAGTATATACTTTTTTATAAATTAGAAACTGAAATTACCAATATTGACAAGTTAAAATATAAAAAAAGGACCTCCTATCTTTTCCATTTGCTGAGATATCAATATATCTAGTGAATCAAACACAATGGCCACATCGACCTATTCCATTTTTGGAAATACTTGCTTACATACACTAGCTTCCCTCTATCATGTGTTTATAACTAATTAAAAGCTCAGAATTTCCCATGTTTTTTCTCAGCATCTCGAAGGAGGGAATTTCCCAAGATTTATTTCTTCTGTCTCAAATATCAGAAAGAAGGGGTAAGTGAAAATATTGTTAAAAAAAATGACACATTTTTAGACCCAACTACAGTTTAGTTAGTAAACCTGATAAATTACAGTGTGATTCTGCAATACTGATAGAGTAATTTATGATTTTTTATTATTTCAAAGTACATATATAAACTAAAAATGTTATTTTGTTTTAAATCCTCCATGAGCAAAATTCAGCAACAGTTAGCATGCAAGGTACAGCAAGTACAAACTTCTTTAAAATCATAAGTAGTGACCATTGTTTTCTATATTTCTTTACTTACTGTTATATATTTTAAGAAAATAATGTATATATACACATATGTAATGTATTATAACTGAAAGGTAACTGTCAAAGGTCAATTTGTAAAGGCCAGTTTTATACTATTGGATATGGTAACATAAGAGCACGTGCACTGCATCATTACAACTTCTGTAATGTTAGTCAGATACAGCTGAAAGGTCAATAAAATAAAAATAATAAATATATATAGATGCATAATGTTATGAAATTTAAGCTACTTAGATCAAACACTTGTGGCTTCATGTTATAATTTTAGTCATTCTAATCTTTTATGGCAGTTATAAGGTCGGTCAAATCAACCAAACCCATACAGAGATACTATAGTGAAAATAACAGAAAAAATATAAAGTTTTTTCAAAAAAAAACACTTGATAATTATCTGGAGGTTATAAAGATTTTGCATGTGAAATTTTACAATTTTGTGATGCATAAAAGTATTTTTAGTTTTAAAATCAAAACAACTTTGTATGTTGGATAGCCAACATTCAAAAAAAAAATCACAATAAAATAATTACCAAAAAAACCTCAAAATTTAATAACAAAATCTGATATTTTGTGTAAGAAGGCCTTGTAATGTTCACTGAAAAATTTCGTGAAGATATGCATACTGTATTAAAAGTTATAGTATGAAAACTATAACAAGAGACTGGGCCTTTTGTGAGAGACTTTCACAGCAAGAAATACTTAAAACCCACATCAAGCCATAACTAACTTGTGTTTCATATGGTACAGAGGAAACAACTGTCCACATGATTATTATATTGGCTTTTTTTTGCAGTATGAAACCTACTTATCACCATCTCTTAACTCTCTCAACATGGGCTCTGTCAACTCTTTGTAAACAAGTAAATTCTTTGTAATTGTTTAACATCTTTATAGATTTAATACTTCTAACTTTCAATATAGTGTATATACCTTCACAAAATTTGGCAGTCTTTCAGTTAATATTATAAGTCTTTCACATACAAAAAATCACATTTTTAGTGAAGTATTTTTAATGAAATAAAATAAAGATTTGTCCAAGAATATATTGAGTAATTGTTTTGAATAGTCCATGTGCAAAGTAATTTCCATGTTAAAATTAAAAATACTTTTCCTCATTTCAAAAATTTCAAATTTCCTTTATATAATCCCTACAAAAACGCTAAATGCATTTCAAACGTTTTTTCGATAAAACTTTATAGTTTATCTGTTATTTTCTCTACCCTATCTCAAAACGTAATTGGTCAATTCGATCGACTTCGTAACCATTATAAAAAAAATCGAAATAAATGCAAATTACCATTTTTTCTTTCTAAAATGACTTCAAATTGTAACATGAAACTACATTCGTTTATCCTAAGTAGCTCTAAGTTTGTAATAGTATACATCCATATATATAATAAAATTTTATTGTTTTATTGCCCTTTGAACCATGCCTAACAACTATCCATACCATTATAAGTGGTAAATCACTCAGCAGCTGACATTACAGTAAGGAATTACATTACCCACATAAAATTATTTATTTTATCTAATCTAATCTTAACTAACCTAAAAGAATCCCTGTTTTTACATTTTAGTTACTTTAATAATTATACATAAAGAATAAACATGAAAAACAAGAAATAAAATACTTAACCAATTATCTTTCTTTATTGATGTTGATTGTTGAAGAGAGTTAACCCTAATTATTATATACTAATGATAGTAATGCACTTAATAGTTTTTATTTAATTAAATAATGCACCAAACAATATAGACTAATAAAATGCAAAAAGTAGGCAAATTCCCTTATCATTCAAAAATTTTCTGGCTTTCTAACTATGCGACCAGAGTTGTTACAAATTCATCCTAGCTAGTTGTTAACTTTCTCACAGGAACGATGTTGGTACTCTGAGTGAAACTGACATTTAACCATTCAGAACATAATGTTATAAAATACATCATTTGATAGATGAAAACCTTGACTTTCTATTGGTTATAGGTAAAACATAATTAAGTGTAAGAGAGAACTATTAACAAATCCTAAAAGAAAGGATGTGGCAGGAGGGGTTTGATTTTCTATTCGATAGCTCTGTAACCAAACAAAACTGAAGACTGGTTTGTTGGAGCAATACTGATTTTATAGTGAACAATTTACATTTAATTTCGTACTTTTCCAAGGGGTGGTGGTTAAAATAGAGGAAACAAGATGCCTAGAAAAAATGTGTAACGTGTGTCACACTATGAAAAATTCAATATTTTTTTTTAATATTGCCTTGTAGAATTAAGAACTTAAAACTTATATACTATTAAAATATGGATTATTAGCTATAATTTTTAGAGGGAAGACCTAGAGAACAAATGTCACAATTCTTATACTAAGGGAGATTGAAGAAAATATTTCCTTATAAAATTAAAAACATATATTAAAAGTTAAATTGTTAACTGCATATTGTAAAAAAAAGTCCTGACATGTGCACATGATCTAACTGTAGTGAGGGGGTTAAGAACACTAAAAGGTAGATTTCTTTTCTTGTATCACTACATGCTAGTGTGTGATAATTCTAAAGATATTTATGTCTTTTGTTAACCCTATCACCATGGGTTTCCTTTACTATGCATAACACAAGGTTTTAGTGTCTTACATTCAGAATTTTATTAAACTACTTTTTGTTTATCTTATACCAATTAGAATAGCATGAACAGTACAAAATTTAATGTAAATTACTCATTATGATATAGATATTATTAAGGCAAAGCATAAGTTTTATAGTATCAATCTTATTTGTTTATGGGACCATAAACTAGAAAATCAGACCCATTTGTCACATTCTCTTTTTCACAAATTGTCAATAATTCTCTGACATTTTATACTACATTATTAATAACCAACAGAAAGCCAAAGTTTTAATCTATCAAATGACATATTACATTCCATTGTTTTCCATACAGAGTATTGTCTATTTTGCCTCCAGTTTCAAAATTTCACCCTCAGAATTCATATCAACATGCTTTGCTATATTTTTAAGTGCTCTCATTTTAAAGACCAGGTAAATTATGATAGTTATAGGACATTGTTTGTTTTGTGTGTGTTATTATTTTATATTATCTTGTGCATTGTTTAATTAAATAAGAATTATTTAGTGTCCTAGTACCATTAGTATAAAACAAGTAGGCTTAATTTTTATCGATGGTTAACAGCAAAAATACAAGAAGACACAGGTAAGTACCATATTTCTTTTTTATATTCATTATTTATTATTATAAAAGTAACTAAAAATAAGAATTAGAAATTTTTTAGGTTAGATTAGATAAACATTTTTTCACAAGCTATGCTCAAGAACAGCTTGTACGTTAAATAATTCAACACAGTAACTTGAGCTACATGTTCACCAAGTAATTTACAACTTGCATGACAGGATTATTGGTTAGATGCAGTTCAAGGGGCAATAAAACAATAACATTTAAGTAGAAACAGATGTAAACTGTTATAAACTTGACGGTATTTAGGATAAATAATTGTAGTGTCTTGTTACAATTTGCAGTCATTCTAGAATAAAAAAAGGGTAATTGAAATTTATTTGGTATTTTTTATAGCGGTTACGAAGTTGGTCAAATTGACCAAATGCGTACAGTTAGAGTAGAGTAAATAACAGAAAGAACATAGGATATTTATTTAGGAGGTTTTAGAGATTATGCAAATAAAATGTGATAGTTTTCAGGTGAAGAAAAGTATTGTTAATCTTAACATGAAAATCACTTAGCACTCAGATCAATCAACATTGGGCTCCATATATATTCAGTGACAAATTCTTAGCAAAAATACTTAAGTAAAAGTTTTTGTGTAGAAAAGACTCGTAATGTTTATTGAAAGTTTGCCATATTTCGTGAAATATACAAAACTTATTATTATAGAAACTCTGATGGTCACTTTGGGGTCAAAAGGTCAGTGTAATCCACTGAGCCAGTAGCAGTTAAAGAAGACATAAGTGCTCATAATATGAATAAATTGGTTCATAAGCTATGAAAACCTACCTGTCACTGTGTTCTTGAACAGATGTTACACAGTAATCCACTTCAGAAGTGGATTGGTTTGTGTCTTCTAAAAAAGATTTGAAAGACTGATCTACATTGCTCTCAAGAATGAAATCCTCTACTTTTTCAAATGGTTTCTCAGAAGCTCTGACAACTGGAGGGGGTTCTGGTGATGGAGCTATGATTTAAAATGATAGTTGTTATCATTTATACATAATACCTTTATTATTCAACTCAACTCTCGAAATGTTTAGATTAATTACAAATAAAGGATAGTTGCATGATTTTGATCAAGATAAAAGAATTTTGCATCAGAAAATCCTTTAACGTAACCATCCCAGAAGGGGTCAATTTTAGTCATTTGCAAACCACACACTTAAACTGACTTGTAACAAAAGAGTTTAAACCTATATAGTCAGAAGACATGACAGAGAGTCAAGGGCAAACTCATTGGGTATGTTAATTGCTACCAGGAGTTGTGAACAACTACCTGGAGACCTAAGTACCAGTATTTGTGAAATCATATTGATATGAAGAAATATCAATGCAGAAGATCATTCCACCTGAAATATGCTGTAAACACTTTCTATAGAGAATAGAATATTTGTTCTGAAGGAAAAAAATGTTTCTTGCTGGATACATATTGCTACTAAAGCTCCATCAAAAGAAGAAAAATTATTGGACACATAAATTATTCATTATATTATAATAAACACCTGAAGTACTACACAAGATTAACCCTACAATGAGCACCTGAAACTAAAAAAAATAATCTAGAACATGGAAGCAAAAAAAAATCCTTTTGTACAAATTATACCTGGTTTATTTTCATCTTTGGCACTTGCTGGAGATTTGTTAAAAAACCGTGACATAAAACCACCTTGTTTTGGTTGTTCCTTAGAGAGAGAAAGAAAAAAAACAAACATGTTTTAAAAACTTCTTGTTTAGTGATAATTATATTTAAAAAATTTTTAAATTTGCTCTCAATGCTGCCCTTCACTGTATGGTATAGTAAAAAAAAACTAAATACAACAAAACTGCAAATTCAGAAATCAAAAAAATATTTACTTGTGTCAAATATAATATTAATTGCTTACACTTGTATCAATATCCTTTGCATCTATACCACAAGCTTACAACTTTATCAACATCAGAAGCAGAATTCTATAGATAAATAACAAACAGTACAAGTTTATCAGTATTAAATTATGTGCACTCTAGATCTGTAGAAATGAAGAACTTAATAAGTACTTATATTATCACTAGTAGGTGATTCATTATTTTTATATATAAAAATAAAGAAACATGTAATACATTTACAGGAATTTCTATGGATGATCCTGAATTTCCTAGACAGGTGGGAACTGTGGGTGATCTTGACATATCTGATGGTGATTGCTGATCCAAAGCATTCGGGACGGAGCTACTTCTGGTCTTTGTCTGCATACTAGCATGTGACTGTGATGTTGAAGTTGTTGACGTGTTTGAAACTAAGAGTACCCCCAAATACGTTACAAAAAATTAATAAAGCACACTAAAGAGTTATTTTTAGGAATTTAAGATAGTTCTAATTACTGAACTGAAAACATTCTTTCTTGAATAAAAAAGTAATGGCTTCTTCAAACTGATGAAATGGTAATTTGTAACCAGCTTATTCAAGATAAAAACTAAATGAATTGATATAAAATTAACATGGTTATAAACCACAGAACCAAAAATAGTATTACAAAATAATGAGTACCTTTAGTAAATATTTTACAAAAAGTAAAACTCTTTTTGGGTATGCACTATATTTTAGCATTATATAAATTCATTTATAATTAGCTTAAAGTGGAGGTATGATATTAGTATATAGACTCATTTCTCAGGCTAAAAGAATCACCAACAGTCAACAAATGCCAATCATGAGTACAAAAAACATTCCACAACATCATTTTCTAACTATGGTTTTTGATAACAGAATAAAAAGGTTCTTCTAATGTAATCAAGTATTTGTAGAGAAAAAACAACGACTCATTCTTAACATATCTAACAAAAACTTACCATTTAATGAGGAAGAAACTGAAGAAAAAGGCCCATTAACCTGGAAAGGTGAGGTGGGAGATGACAGTTCTGATAATTTGGGTGCTTGAGATTCTGCCATTTGTCTTCGTTTGCTTATTAAAGCATCCAAAAACCTATAAATGAAAGAGAACACTGATAGTGAAACTTCAACATTTTTCAGATTTTGTACAAATTCATATATGATTCTACTTAAAATAGAAAACTTCACACAAATTTCATTAGCATAATGTCATTAAGAATGAAGTGAAAAACTTCCCATATCAGAGTAACAAGCATGATGATACATTACTAAAAGATTAATAACACCTTTTAACACTTTCAACCACTAGCTGCCCGACATGGTTTAGCAATAATGTTCATAATAGACAAATTATAATAACATAACAAAGAATTAAATTGAAAGAATTAAAAAAAAATCATCATGCTAGTATAATCAGATTTTAAACACTATTTTCTAAACTATTTATGCACCCAAATGTTTATAGGTCCATGACTTTATTGGTTACAGGACCCCTAGTAACATGAGTCATAAAAATATGAATAAAAGTACTATAATTAATTCTACTAATTACTAATTACACTGTGTGTTGTGACAAATAAAAACATACAATCACTCAATACAATGCAAAGGTGTACCTCCACCAGCAGTGAGCATTATCTGAACAAATCTCTAATATGAGGTATAAAACTTTCTGAGCTTTTTCTGTAGTGGCATACACAAAATAAAGTATAAGTCATCATTACTTCTACTTATTTTTACTGTAAGCTCCTATTGTGTGTTTTGTTTATCATATAATATCCTAATGATTCGTTTTGTTGAATTTCACACAAGACTGCTCAAGGGCTAGCTGCATTAGTCATCCCTAATTATGAAGTAATAGAACATAATGGATATTCTCAAACCTTTTTTGCTGAGACTCCCTTTGAAAACATTATAGTCTGTGATGACCCTCTCCCAACACACACACACGTGATAGAAAAGTACTGTACATACTCTAAAATATCCATTATCACCATAATTTTTATGAGCCTTTGCCCTCTTCCCTATAATATCCTTGCAACCCCCTTTGAGTTGTAATCCCCAGTTTGAGAAATGTTGGAATAGAGGGAAGGCAGCTAGACAACATCACCCAGCCCCAACTCTTGGGCTAATCTTTACCAATGAACAGTGAGAATGACAATCACATAATAATACACCCCCATCTGACTGAAAAGGTGGGCCTGTTCAGTGATGGGATTTAATCTACCCTGATGAACATCACACTTCACTACTTTCAACATTATACATCTTTAAAAATTATCATTTTACTTTTTAGTATAAATAAAGCTCTATATTTAATGTGAAATTAGTAATATTTTAAACAGGTATTACATTTTGAATGATCATTTTTAGCACCTGAAACTTTTGTACACTATTTATCAGGTGAAACTATAATGCTCTTAAAAACTATCAAGAAAACAGCTAAAGCAGTTCCTGGCTGTATGACAACATGACCTTAATAATGTAAACTCAAGACCATAAGATTGTTAAACTTTGTACTCACAAGTCATAATTCTGTTCTTCTGATTCTTGCAGAACATCTAGTTCTTCCACAGTAGTTTCTATCTCCTGGGAATTAACTTCTAGCTGTCTCACTAGTGTCTCTCTCTGAGAAAAAAAAAAATGATGATAGCATATTCTCTCTCAACCAATAAAAACACAATCAAAAAAGAAGAACCACAAGTACATACTTCAAGGAAGCAGTTTTTCTGCAATAAATAAATTTGCAACAATAAAATGTTTTTCTATTTCCTAAAATAATACATCAACTAATGCAAGTAGCAATTCATACATGAACCTAATTCACTATTGGGCATTTTTATCCAAGAGGAAAAATCCTTACAAATGAATATTCAAAATTTTCAATGGTAGAGTCAATAGTATGGGTTAATGCGAACTTAGATTCTCAAACAAAGATCTCAATGTTCATCAGTCATTGCATATGCATTAACTCTAAACAATTCAGGTGTGCCATAAGAATTTGTATCTTTAAAAATTATAAAGATTTCATTTTGTTGTTTTTTTAAGAACCAATAAAAAGTGCTTACTTTGTTGAAAATTTCAATAACTGATTTGTATGCCTTCTTACATTCTTGCAAAAGTTTCCAATAAAGTTTTTTTTTAACACTGTAAATTTTATTTTGGTTTTGATTTGAAAAACATGGCATGCAGTTCACTGTGTTTACAATCACAGGTGTGCACTAAAATAACATTTTTACCATACCAAATTTATAAGCAAGCCAACATTTATTTAATTGTTAATACAAAGTTTTAAACTCATTTGATATTCATTCATGTGTTTTTTCACATTTCTTTTTGTTGTTTTTCTTTGTCTATTCAGACTTTACTTCAGTCAATAAGGTATATCAAGCGGCATCCTTGCAGAAATAATTGTCAAGTACAAAATAATCTAATTAAGCATACATCTTTTTTTACACAAAAACATTTCATATCATACTGTAAACACCATAATTCAAATGAAGTATATATTTATGAAGCAAGTTTTTTGCAAGTTTTAATAAAAAATCAAGACTGCAACTGTGGTAGAAATTGTTCACAAAATATTTTTTTCTACCAGCAACATATCAGGTTAAACTTTTATCACTTTGCTGCAATCTCTATGTATATCTACACTATATCAGTTGAAAGCTGTACTGGTTTATACCACTGAAAAGAACAGAAAATTTTGTTCATTGTGTGTTTAGATTACTAGCCTATCAATTCTCAGAACTGAGATATAGGCAATTTACGCCACTCCATGGCAACCAAGATTGAGAAACGGTGAGTGGCTGAAATTGATAAACCTACACTTGTATTGAAGTTACAAGGTTCGAATTGGCTGTATTTTGTTCTAAACCACTTCAAATTCCCTCTTATAGGGCTATGAGTTTCACATTATTATTATAATTATTATGAGATAAAATTCAGAAAATTCACAAACATTAATGTTCTCATTTTGAGCAAACTGAAATCAACCAATAAAAAAAATTGTCCAAAAAAATTATGTAAATAATAATTTTTCATTGAATAAGTTTCAGATCCAAAGTTGTTTTCTTATGTACAGAAGAACAAGTGCAAGTTTTATCTTAAATGGTACAATTTTGCCCTCAAGGCACAGTGGACCCAACTATAATAAGAGGGCTGGTGTTCTATCTCAATACCTTCATAATCTAAAGTTTTCTACAAAATGAAAAAAAATGTTTCTAAAAGCTTAATAATGAAAATAAATACAAAATAATTAACACTAGTTACAGCATGTAGTATTTTTGTTAAAAGCAAGTTATTGTCCCCAAAACATTTATCTACAAATTATAATGTGTACAACCAAACTGAAATAATTAACAAAACAGATATTTATATGAGGGGAAAACTGAGCAACTTTTATTAATACTAGTCCAAAATTGATCTTGATCAGTCTTTATAGTAGTTTAAATGTTATTTGATCTTATTAACAACAAATCTTAAGAACAAGGGAACTAGGATCACTCATGCTGGTGTACTGAATGTTAAAGGCAGAATTATTACAAAAATACTAATATTTACAAAATATTGATTTTCCTTATTGCAAGAAATACATATCATTAAATTGTTCTGCAAATCTGTTTTCCTCAGCTTGCTTGTAATTCTTTGAAGCTTGAACGACAGCACTGTTTGTTAACAATATGAAACTCCATCCAGTACAGCTTATTCTACTATCTGCATGTGTTCTCAGTTTTGTTACTGGTAATTATATTCTCAAAGTGTCTAAAAATTAAGTTGCATAACATAATAATTGATATTACAATTACAAACCTGAAGTTCTAAGAAAGGGAGATTGCAAAATTTGTGAAGAAACTTCAGACCAAATCCATTTCTCATTGAGGATTCAGCATAACGAACTGCTGCACTTCCAGGAGGCCTGAGGAGAAACTTCACAAATGAATATAATGTTTTGAATTGTGCTTGATTACCCTCAATAATTAATAGTAATGCTTTTTGAATAGGAAAAAGTCTACACATATTACTCATGATACAGAAACAAATATTTTCTATAAGGGTAAGTGTGTGTGTGTGTGTGTGTATACACACACACACTCACTTATGTACCAATTCAAAGCATGGGGAACATACAACTGGTTGCAATAGGATGGAAGTGGTTAGGTAGTCAGTGATGGAAAGTTGCAGCAAACTCACATATATCATATATGTTATGGCTACCATAACTTGTGAATCTTATCAAATCTAAACATGTTCATGGAATATAGAGTGCAAATAATAATATTGTTATTGGACTGTGTATTAGCACCAACGTTTCCTAAAAGCAACATCATTATTTGCATTCTATGTTTAATGGGCCTGCCTGGCTTTGGTGAGATTCACAGGCTACACAAGACACATCATGTGGGAAATGTGTGTGTTTGATGCCATCTGCCTAGTCATTTCCAGTTTAAAATAACAAAGAAAACACATAGGATCTCACAGGAAGTTAAAGAGGTTAGGTCCAAGCAAAAAACCCCATGTTATTCTCTGGGGTGCTCTAGGGGCACATATCAAATTTATTCAAGATCATTCAAAAAATATAAGCATGAAAGATAATTTTAAAGAATTTTTGTATTTCTTGGTCTACAGAAGATTTTTTTGGCCTTTTCATTGAATAATTCAAGCTAACATACTAAAAAATGAGATGTTTTTACAACATCTGAGCCAGCATTCTCTAAGCAACTAAATACCAAAGATATTGGTCAAGTTTGGTTTTATTATTAAATGTAAAATAAAACTAATGATTTTGAATCTTAAGAACAACTATTCATTTTCTATTCATGATTTATTTTCAAAAGTTACTTTGAGTTTTTATTGCCTTTTTTTCCCAAACTGGGCAACTCTTTACTAATTTAAAAAGTACTAATACATTTTACTGCCAACAAATATGTTATTCCTACATTCAGTATCTATTCTATTTTTTCAAAAAATACCATGTGGAAAAACAACAACACAACTTTTCAGTATTCAAATTTGTGTTTCTAAATATTAAAGACAATTATGCAATGACTTCAGAAGGTAGGCCATTGTTCTTCAGAAGGAATGCTTATGTCAAAGAAACATTCCACTCTTTCTTTATAATTACTGTTTTGTTTAGAATTTTGTTTTAATGTAATTGGTGCTGTTTTTGAAGTCCAATATATTTTATGTTACAAGAAACTGAGGATCACCCTAAATGATTCTGATGTTACAGTTGACAACATACTACACTAGCAAACAAAGCAAGACAGATGCAAAGAATTACCTTTCCAAACTATCAACATAAAATCGAACTTGGTCTTCAGTTACTGTTCGATGATGTCCCATATCCCTGTGGTTTGCTAGTACCAGGACAGGAATATTTGTTGGCACTTTTGGAAGTTCTCGCTGCACATAGTCAAACGTCCTATAAAACACTTAGATTAGTCTAAACATTTTGGTACATGAAGCTGCTTCTAAAATTACTTAATCAAACCCAAAAATATTTTGGTGTAGAAAATGATGAAATTTGTACAAAAAAATTCAAGTTTATTTCCTTCGTTCCTAAAAAATAATCAAAAATATAACTTGTAATAGCAAACTACCACAGTACCACACAAATGAGGAGATGATGTGTACGGTCTCTTCTACATAGCTTTAAAACTATTTTAATTAACTTAACATTTTTTATATTACTCTATTGCTATCATGAATATAAAAACAATACAAATGATTTCCTGATATAGTTTGTTTTTCATCCACCACAGCATGACACACATATGTATACTTCAGAAAACAAACTAATCATCACTAACTGAAGAAATTAAAACATTCACATAAACATATTACTTTTAGCATTTATCTTTAATGTCATAAAATACAGTTAAAACGCTCACCAATGTTTGGTAATGTCCAACATCATGATGACTCCATGAGTTCCTTTATATACATCAATGAATTCAGCATCCAAGGCTGCTTCTTCAGGAGCCTGTAAACAAAGTTCAAGTTCAACCAGATAAGACACCAACCAAAGAATGTTTATACACAGATAACTATAACTGTTACTTTGACGCTTAAAGTGACTTGCACAAAAAGAAAAAAAGAATGAAATCTTTGTTGTTGATGCACCAATGACTAAACAAACTACCTACCAGAAATTCCAGTGATGAAATGTGTTTATAATGCAAAACTTCAAAGGAATTAGGCCTAAATATCAAATGGTAGAAACTATACATATATATATAGTACTCTTTTACAATTAAATCGACTAAAGGTAATATAACGCTAATCACTTTCTTTTTTAAACTTAGGAAAGAGATATCATTACAAGCTGCATCCCAAGTCACTTTTCTGTAATACTGTCACATAGAATAAAGGTTGCTTTGGGCATTAAATATTCTTGTATACATTTAAAGATTTGGATGTAGAGATGCATCTCACAGCAACACAGAGAATTGTATGATTTTTATAGGTTGTATGTGCATTAAAATGTAAAAATATCTGCAAGTTGTATTTGTAATAACTTTTGGGTTTGTATTTTGAGCAATTAGATAATAAGATTACTTTTCATTATGTTCCAGCACTTTAGCTTTCCTCTTAGATAACTGAACCAACAAATAACACACAGTAACTTTGGTGTTTGCTAATATCTATCTAGAATTATCACTCCAATATTATCCAACTTGTAGCATGTTCATTTTAATAAAACAATAGTACCACATAAAATTTCAATAAACAAGCCCACACTGTATGATATCTCAAACTATGTACTTTCTTATCAAGTAAGTAATTGTACTTACTTGAATCTGAAACTTATGGGCTCATATAAGAAACATGACAGTTATTAAAGTAATTCATGGTAATTTAAAAACAATAACTGCAGCCTTTGTATGTTACAATAACTACTACTCTAAGAAAATATTTATTACTTTTCCATCCGATTAATTTCAAGAGACATCTATTACAAGTAAAACAAAACAAGTTTCTTTTATGCTACACATAATAAAAAAGCTTATTATAACATACATTGTAATGAAAAACCACTCTTACAAAACTTTTCTTCAGTATTTAGTAAATCTCGTATGTCAGCTATAAAGTCACAATAAGGATTAAACAAACATAAACACCGAATTATTAGCTAGCATGAGAAGACTACCACACTTTTTCTTAAAATAGATATTATTATTATGATAATGTTACTTGTAGTCTGAAAATATTGCAAGAAAAAAACAGGAAGTTTTGGTGGGGTCTAATGATTTTTAAAACAGTTTGGTTCCTTAAGGGAAATTTCATTAAACAAATAAGTAAATCATACTGTGAAGACATGATGACCTATCTATCAAGCAACTGAGTTACTAAATGCAAAATTATTATCTTTTAATGGATAACTTCTACATATTTAAAAATTATACAGAGGCTAAACAAACATGACTAAGAAGTTGGAAAATGTAAAACCAACTACTGATATTTGAAACATAAATGAGCATAAAAGTAAGTACTGTATACTTTTCATGCTGTTACTATAGAAACACTGCTGGATACACATCAATTTTCTCTCTCTCTCTCACTGATTCAAAATCTTGTTCCTTCTCCAAACATTTTTTTAAAGTTTACCTTCCCTGTTTTTGTTGTCTGTTGTTTAAGGCCTTAGTATTCTGTTTAAGTATGTATTTGTAAACACAGTCACATTTCAGTTATAATACATAACATACATATATATATATATATATATATATATTATTACTATTTACGAATGAGTTCTTAAATTTCAGTTATTTTTCTTAAAACATAGAACAGTAAATAAAAAAATATAGAAAACAACAATATCTTCTACTTAAGGTGTTTGTACTCGCTTGCCATAATTTGAACCAAAGCTGCATTCAACATACCACATGACACATAAAAATTGTTATTTAGGATATTTTTTTAATATTTACTTTTAAGTTAAGAAATGAACTAATGTATAATACTAAAATTTTAATTATAATTTACAATTTGATACCAAACTTATTTACATACATTCATAAAATAGTAGTTCAATAAAATTTTAAAGTCTATAAACATAATGACATGCCCTTTGTCCCCAGACCATAGGAAAACCAACAGGTACATGAAAACTAGCATAAAGTATCAAAAATTCTTGACCTAAGTATTATGACAGTGAGTGGTGTGTTTAATCTTGGTATAAAATTTAAACAGATGTTTCAAGTCAGGGCAAAAAGAGATAAAAAATCAGAATATTTTGTTAGATCTTAAGAAAAACAATCCAACATTTCTCAACAAGACAAAGCATTTCCAAATTTACTCTCATTTTATAGGTGTGGTTGGAAGAGCAGATGACTTCATTCTTTTTGATTTTTGGCATTATAATTCCTCAAACTGACTGCTGAACTACCAGAAAATCAAAAACTATATATGATGGACAGTTTCACTAAGTGGTTAAGAAAAAAACAATGACCATGATGATAAAAGAAACAAAAATCCTAGCAAAACTAAGAGATACACATGCAACATAGAAATAGTTACTAAGAAAAAAAAATTATCATTTTATGACTAATTTTGATTACCAAGTGTTTTGATTTTAGTTGAATATGTTTTATTTTGCTAACTAGTAAAAAACTCACTATCTTGTATATATTTTATGTTTATGTTTTTACACCTTTCCACCAACAAAAATAGCTATTCAAGCTTAAAGGCAACATGTCGTTATCCTAATCATTTGAAAAGCACACACACACACACTTCATTACGTTTCCATCTGTTTTCTGACATCTCCTTTATCTTGGTTTTGTTGCACAATAATGAACTATTATTAGTCTTGCCTTCTATTATCAACTTTTAAATGATTATTCTATTCTAAACTTTCTCTTTTTTATTTTAGTTGTAATTTTTTACACGTTCAACTATGTTTATGACTATGCAATTATGATAAAATAAGAATTTCTTAACCCTACTTTTGCTGGACGACATAAGTACCACGAGGTTGGGTTGCACACCACCCAGAAAAAAACAGGTAATAAACACAATGTATTGCTATAAGTAAAATATGTCAATGTATACTTGTAAGTTAAGTGTCTTGTGACTGATTCCATTACATTTTGCTTAATTTTTAAAGTATGGGTAGCATTAATAGAGGAATAATGAAATTATTAAAAAAAATTGTTCATATTGTATTTGACAAACAAAAAAATCATCATTCCAAAAGTAAAGTAGATATGTTTTTAACTAAACATCTTCTTAAGAGTTATTTTTGAACAAAAAAGATCATTAATTTATTAACATCAATGAAAATGTCTAATCTTCTCACTTTCAGTATTACTGTTCATCCTCAACAATAAAAAAACATAAATAATTTGAAATTTCATAAAAAAAAACATTACTGAGGCAAAAGTTCCTTCATATTCACTATGAATTAGCTCTAGAAACAAGAATCAGCTTTAGAAACACTAACTGAATCAAGAATAACAAAGAAATAAAAATATAGGCTTTCCCAGAAATGCACCTTGATTTAGTACCATGTGGTGTTTGTGTGCCAGAAAAATAACAAAACACATGTTACTCTAAAATGTGGCTGAAGTAAAAATAGGAGGAACTAGGTGCGCACTCTATCAGGGATTTGGGGAAGGTACCATGAACAACAACTGCCTCAGTGCTACGATCTCTTAGTGACAATCTTAACGAACATACTTAGGGTTCAAAAATACCCCATACGACTAACAGAGGGTTAACTGATGTTTTGGTTACACAGTTTTATAAACTGTCGTAAATTCAAAACAGTTTTATCAGAAATATAAGGAGGTAAACTTATTTGAACATATCCAATTTAGCTGTGTATATAAAAAGTCAAATACATGCAAGGTAGTCTTCAACACCAGAAATTTATTAATTTCAAAGACAAAGAAGGTTTAAAGTTCATAACTATCCAACAGAACTTACAACAGACTATACACTATGAGCCAAAGCTCAAACTAAGAATGTTTAAGGCATCCAAACATCAAGTTTGCATGGTGTAAAGATTTGTAAAACTTTTTAATCAAACAATACATTGTTATCAAATTATCTAGCATATACACATACACACACACCATAAACCACTTACATCTGTTATTTGATTGTCAAGCTTTAAGCCTTCAATCTTCTTTCTTTTTTTTCCCTTATCAACAACATCCCATACCTCTACTTTCACAATGTCATCTGTGGCCTTGTAGTTCCAGTGGATACTGGCCACCTGCAAGATACAACCGAAAGTTATTTAACCACTCTTTAGTGAACTTGTCAGTACAACAACCATATAAACAAATATACAGGATGTTTTACAGAAACTGAATACTATTACATGAACAATTATGATTTTTCTAAAACAGTTATATGACTCATATCAATTAAAAAATATTCTGTCTTCCAAAAATTAGTTTAAATCTTTTTCAGGCATGTAACAGTTAGTCAATGGAAAAGAAAAGAAAAAAAAAAGAGGGGTGAGGAAGGAACAGTATGATAAACTTAAATACCAACTATGAAGCTTAGTAATGATTTTTTTTAAAAGCTTGATCTATGACAGAAAAGATGTTGAAAAAGAAACCCTAATCTCCCAAAAATATAACTATTTTAGTAAATAAGATACAAAACTGTGGACCCATAAAATACTACAATTTTGTAGCCTGAATAATCATATTTAAAATTAATTAATGCTTACAAAAAAAAAAAAATACTGTATATAGGTTTATATTTACACTCTTTTCTTGTTATACTTTAATAAATGTTATTCCACAAGGAAATTAAATATTTTTTTTAATTATTGTCAAAAATCTAATAACATACATAATAAAAAATATTATTGTAATGCTACACGTCAAACCATACCCCTAAGAAATTAAAATTCACTATATTGAATAAATAAAACGTACTTGAATCTCTTCTGAAGGTATATATTCCTCTTTAAAAGCTTCTCCTTGCAATCGAAGATAAAGACATGTCTTTCCTACATTTCTGTCTCCCTTAATAATAATTTTCACTAAAAAAAACAATTAAAAACATTTTGCAATATAATTATGGACAAGCCTACATACATAAAAATAATATAAATTGTTAAGGTATTTAACTAAGCAGTATTCACAAAACCTGAATTGTTCAGTAACAGATGATTTTGGAGGTTCCTATAGAAACTCATATTGGCATAAATTAATATTTAATAGTGAGTTAGCTTTTCACACACACACACAGACATATATATATATATATATATATGCATGTATATAGCTACACAACATTAGTGCCTTTAAAATATTTTTTCAAATATCTCAATAATTCCATACAGTTTTTAGATGCTCAGCTTTAATCTATGCTTCATCTAAAGGTGGTGAAAATTTTGTTGATATGGTACCTCTTTAAGTTAAAAATAAAAAAGGTAAATATAAAATTAAAAAAAAAATCATATTATCATATTTTCTTAAAATGAATATGAAAAAATCTAAGTAAGATACTTTTTAACTACAAACATACATAAATGCCTTACTATCAAAACATCTTAATCTAGTGCTTTTTCAAATAAAAATATCTGAAAATTTTCAATAGTTATTCACCTTCTCACAAACAATAGCTTGATCCTTGAGCTAACTAACACCTAAAAATCACCTGTGTAACAGAAATGTGCTAGTGTATGATGATATTGTCATGCAACAATAGCTTTCCACCAATAAGAGGGTGAAACAACATCCTTACACAGTAACTCTCCCTTAGCACTTGCACTCAAAGTAACTTCATTCTTAGACAAGGCAAGAAGAAAGTGCACCAGAAGTGGGAAGGACAGGTAGGAAGGAATGCTTAGGTGACATACATACATTTTCAGGTAAGGAAAATGTTAACTTGTGAGAAAATACCTCACCTCTCACACAGAATAGCTAGAATCCCACACTGAAATGATAGAGCGGAAAGTGCAAGCATTATACCTAGATTAGCTCCCTTCAGAAAGTGGTGGAAGGGAAAGTGTATGGAGTGTGACACCCAATGGCAGGGGATCTGAAGGGGCATACCCATAGGAGACCACATATCATCTCAACCAGGGTATAATCTTTGCCCAGAAGATGGAGAAAGGTATAAGAGCCTCCAAGTGTTGCAGAGACAGACAGAATTTTGCATTACCAACTGAGCACCCACACACAAGTCGTTGGGGAGCTAAAAAATGTAATGTGATCATGGTGCAATCAAACCAGTTGGTTCATGTCTGACCTTGACTCAATTGGACATACAGAGATAAGGATGACTAACCCATCCTACTGCAGGAGGAGGGAGTGCTAGCTATTTGAAGGGTGACCTGAACTACACAGACAGTGCCACCACTACCCTACTTGCTACCTTATTGTGCTGTACATAATAATTGTGAAACCATAACAGCTGGCAAGTGGCAAGAGACTCTCATACTCACTTGAAAAATCGGGAAGAACTCGTGTTGGAGAGACCCAGAAAAGAGCCCAGATCTCCAAGGGACACCTACCAGAAAGATCTTTTACTGGAGACAGTGCAATAAGTGACCACAAAGCCATATTTTGAAAATCCAGCATGCATGAGCCAAAGAAGTGGGCAGTCACTTCCCTGGTGCTGGCTTTTCCCTGATAGTCAATGGAATAGTAGAATCTGGATTGAGAAAATGAGTAAGTTTAACACCACAAAGATACCTCTAGTGGTCTTGTGGAACACCCCTTCTCAACAGTGGGCCCCCATAAAACCAGGGTAGATGAGTTGAGTTCTTTCTGTTACACTTGACCTGATGCAGATATTGGGAAATAAGCATACCCTGCAAGGCAACACAAGCCACCTGGCAGAATCTTATAAGAGGTAAGAGGGTGATGAAAAAGAAAATGTACTTACCCTTCTCAAAGATGGTGTGTAGATTGAAGAATAATAACCAGAAGGAATCAAAATCCGACAGGAGATGAAACAGACAGATGATGAAGATAATGGGAAACAAACTATTATGGATTCGTTCAAATGCCAACCTGAAAGGTTGGTGAAAATGAGACACAAAAAGTGAGACAGGTGACAAATTTGATGCAACAAAATTTGAAAAAGTCTGCAAACATCAATACCTAGAGAAGAATACACCAACCAAAGGAGTTTGTGGACCCATCCAGTAAGGATAGAAGGTGATAGGTTCATGAACAAAGAGGGATACCAAGGCAAAAACAAACAATGATTGGAACTCAGAAAAGGAGATGTTCATGTGAAATAACACCACACAGGCCAAACCACAAAAAGATGATGATTTGGGTTCAAATGAGCATAAAGGTGAGCGATACATAGATCACTTTCCTCAGCAGCCAAAGTCTTGGGAAAAAAAGCACGATCTGGGGAGAGTAAATAAGTACAGTGAAAGAAAGTGCAGGAAACATCAAAGGTATATACATCCAAATGATGACAAGAACAGGTGAGAAGGAGAAGGAAGTGTTTTCTCGGAAAGATGGTATAAAGAACAAGAAGCCAACATATCAAATGGGGTGCATGTGAGAGCATGTAAAACCACATTAAGGTCCACTCAGTCATGGGACTTGGCCAAAGAGCTCAGTGAAGAAGGAAAAATTGGAACAAAGTGGAGAAGATAGGAAAAGAAAATACCTGGTGGTAACAGGAAAGGTGAAATGTAGTTGATAAAGTCACCCTATAACCAGCTATGGTGAAAACCAACAATCCCTGGTCAAACAACCACGTGAAAAAAGACTGAAAAGTAAGCCCCAGTAGAACAGCCTGGAGGAAGGGAGTGGCATGTGGACCAATGTCGAAAATTTTGCCCCTTCTGTTGATAGATGGACAAAGTTAAAGGATGACAGGAATGGAATAAGAAGAAAGCTACATGATCAAAGAGTCTGGCCTTGCAGGCAATGGACTACATATGATGAAAAATGGATGAAATCCCTGGGTGAAAACGAGACACGTGAGATTGGAGCAAGAGATAGGAGAAATGGGGCAAAGCAGAGGAAACCAATGTTATGCAGGGCAAAGAGATGCCACTAACAAGATACAACAAGGAGTTTCCCATATCAAGACAAGGACACAAGAGAGGAAACAAAAGAGGAGGACATGCATACAGAAAAAGATGAGAGCAGTTTTGGATGAAAGCATCAACTGCCACAGCCAAGGGATGAGGAACTGGGGTCCAGAAGGGTGTAAGTTTGATGTTGTGAGGAGTGGCAAAGGCTTCAATGAGGGGTGTGCCCAACTAAGATCAAACCCAGTGAAAAATCTATGAGTAAAGAGAACACTCCATGGGTAGAATTTGGCATGGCCAAGAGAGACAATCTTCCCCCAGGTTTATAGCTGCACATGAAAAGCTACGAGACATACTTGACGGGAATGAGCCCAAAATAGCAGGTCCAATGTGGAGGCAAAGAGTCCTGTGATGGTTGATATATGAAACAACAATGAAATTGTCAGAGTGGATCATGAACAACCGATCAACAAGAAGAGGGAAGAAATTGGAACATGTACAGTGAGCTGCAAGAAGTTTGAGTATGTGGATGTGGAGTAAATGCTCTTCCGAAGCCCCCACACCCGAAACAATGTCATCATTCAGAGACGTGCCACAACCTGACAGGAATATATCCATGAAAAGATGGAGATCCAATCAAGCAGTGACAAAGGGATATCCACAGTGGTATTGGCACAGTTGAGCCACCAACACAAGTCCTCATCAAAAGGAAAAGGTAGGTTCACAATCAAGGGCCATGGTTCCTGAGAAAGGTTTCAGTGATCCTGTAATGTCCACTGGAACAAGCACAAGTGTACCTCATTCTTAAAGGAATGAGTGGTTCTAAGAAAGACAGAGTCCCCAAAAGCAAAAGAACCTCTTGTGCAGGGTGTAAATGAGAAGCACAAACCTTGGTGACAAACATTCCATTGCTCACAGGCAGAGTGTTGAATGATGAGTCCAAATGAGATGAAAGTTAGTTAAAGAACATGCTTAGATATACCAAATATTGGGTAAGCATGAGAAAAGACTTGGATTGTTTGACTACCTGCCCACTAAGCATCCTATTGCATAAGAATAGAGGTGTGAGAGTAGGAGTCCTTCTGAGAAGAGATGAGGAAAAGTTCATATAATAATGGAATCTCAAACCCAATCTGTAAATATGCTGGGCAAATGCTCCCATTACTCAAGTGAAGATGTAAGGAGCAGATGCAATACCAAAAGAAAAAACACAGTACTGGAAGACTCGATTCTGATGGACAAAACTTAGAAAATGTCTGGAAGATGAAGCAATCACAATATTTAAAAAAAGTGTCCAATACATCAACCTTGGTCACCCACAGGCCAGGTGAAAAAAGCCACCAGGGAGAAAAGAAACCCTGCATCTGAAAGGGCAGGATGACTATAAACCAATTGAAAAACAACAGGTCAATAACTAGATGTTAGTCCCCATTATTCTTGGGGATCACAAAGAGAGGAGAATAATAGCCCAGAGTAAGAGTAAATACCTTTTTGATGGTTTTTTTGGACAAGAGATTTGAGACCACATCCTTGAGTTGCTGAAGATAAATAAGGTCATAGGAAAGGATACAGGAGAGAAAGAGAAGTGGAGAGTTAAGCCATGGGTGAGAATCTGTAAAACCCATTTGTCAGTGGAAAACAGAAACCAAAGGTCAGAGTGAGACGGAAGAGCACCCACTGGGCCAGACCTGACAGAAAATGAGTCAAGAAATGACCATGATATTGAGAAGTGGGAGGTTGGGTAGAAGATGATGATCGAGAAGCTGGAATGGGATGGTAAGATGTGGATTAAGCAGTTCTAAGAATAGGAAAAAAGGGCAAGGTTGACAAAGACAAAAACCAAGGAAGGCAACAAGGACTGATGCTAACCCAGGTCTCCTGAGGGTCAGGAACACCACCAAAGACTGCTGGGTGAAGAAGAGAAGCATGATGAAGGTCACAGAGATAAGAGTGAGGTATGCAGACATTAGTTACAAGAACATTCTGACCCAACAGCAGAGGAACCAAGTAAGGAGGGATAGAGCAGAAGCAGTAGTACAGGCTAAAGTGGTAAAAAGAAGAGAATGAAACTCTCCAGAAAACCCTTCCAAAGCATGATGAAGTACCTCAGAAATAAGGTGAAGGGACAAGAGGTAACACAGGAGGGGGTAACACAGTGATGGAGGCATGAAAATTGGGCACTAGAAAGTGAAACAGAAATTAAGGAATCTACCCTCCAAACAGGTAAAAAGAGACTCCAAAGATTGAGAATCAAGGAAAGAAAATAAAGAATGGTATTAAGCCAGGACAAAAGAGTTGAGTAGATAAGGAAGACGAAGCATGTGAGTATGGGTGCACAGTTGTTCATGAAACTAGTCAACATGAGCCCTAACATCAGGTGAGAAAGGAAGACAAAATAACCTTGAGAATAGGTTTTGTGTAGTAAGGAACAGGAGAAATTGAAAGACACTGGAGAATAAAACAACATACCTGCAAAATTATGTAAAGAAAGAGATTAAAAGGTAGAGGATTTTCCTTCACAGAAAAAATAGTACATACAGCAAACCATGGTAGAGGAAACAGCCAATCAAAAATCATCATCATCCTGGTCATGTTCAAACTGAGAAGAAAGAATGTCAGCCAAATGGACAGGGAGAGTAGACACATTTTGCAGGAAGAAACACAAAATGTAGAACAATAGCTGTCATGTCCTTCACAAACAACATGTCTCCAGTAGACACAAGTCCCATGTTAATAATCTCATCACCATCACAGGACAAAGTAGAAGTTACCATCACTTAAGAATCCATAATGGATAAGAAGGATTTTTTTTCCTCTTTTTTCATTAGTAATGAAAGAAACCAGTTAAACTTGAACAAAATTTAAGTTTCATTAACAATCACAAATCTCAAGTAATTAAATAATAAGTTTAAAAACATCTGTTTGAGACAATGCCAAGGAAAGAATGAAGTTATTTCAAGTGCAAGTTCTTAGAGGGAGTTACTGCACAAGGAGGCTGTGTCACCCTCCTACTGGTGGAGGGCTATTGTTGCATGATTAAATCATCATGCAATAGCACAATTCACATTAAACATGATTATTTGGTGGAAATTAGCTCAAATCTAGTGGCATGCAAATCTCATAGGCAAATGCCCCAGAGATCAAGCTATTCTGTGTGTAGAGGTGAGGTACCTCAGAAACACATAATAACTCTACATGAAAAACTTTAGCAAGTAGATTTTTAAATAAGTAAACAGACCCTCTTATAAAGAAAACCTTAGTGTGATGTTTCTTTGTTAAATTGAACATATTTTTATTTTGTATTGATGGCAAAGCTACTGTCTGCCACCATCCCTAATTTTGAACTACTGATCAGAGGAAGGTAGCCAGCCAGCAACACCTTACCACCCACCATCAACAATAAGCAATTGTAACTGTTACTTTTATACTGCACCCACAGCTGAAAGTGTGGGGCAAATTTTGTGGCATTGTAAAAAAAAAAGATATACAGAATACTCCTTCATGAAAATATCTTAGTATGGCACTGTTTTAAATAAAAACAGACATTACATTTTTTAAGAAAAGAACCTAAGTATGGTGTATTTTTTCCATAACAAAGAATTTATATACATAATACCTCTTTATAATTTTAATATATTTACTTGCTCATAAGATATCCAAACTTAGTTGGGTAAAGCTTCAGTTTGGTAAGCAAAGTTACAGGTTTGAATCCACTCAGGCCTTAATATCATTTCTTTACATCATATTATTTACAAAAGCTATGTGCTAGTGTCAAAAATAAAATAGTCTATAAAAATGTTTAGTACAACTTAAAAAATTCTCAACGGTTGTGAAACTTTATTTCTATTACTCTTACAATGAACATGCTCTTTTTTTTTATATTTCACTGTTTACATAGTATATTAATTACGCCCTTACTCGACTTTAAAATAGTAGCTTCTCACATCCTACAACCTAAATAGCTTACTATTATACTGGACTCCTTTTGCAAACTTCCTCTGCAAGCTCTGCCCCATGGCTTGCATGCCAGGTGGAGGCTGTGGTTTGTTTGAGTTTTCATTGTTTCCAACTAATTTTTTTAAAGCTGTAAACATCTTCAATATTCCATGTGTTTTCAGTCCATATCAGCTAACTCTGTGTAAAGAATAATTATAAATAAGCATCAAAAGGTCTGCATATAGTTCATAGGTGTTTAAAAAAAATGCATGCTTTTTTTTTACAGAGTTGAACTAATCTAAGAAAATATTTGAAACTTTATTAGTTGGCAATCTCATAGATAATGTATCTTACTATGGCAGTTGACCTTACACACTAATATAGACTAGCAAAATGTCAGGTAAATAAACAATGTTTATAAATGTTAAAATATTTATACAGGTCCAAATCAACTGATGAATATAATGTTTTAATGTTATATCCATGAACCAATTATCTGGTCTTGTCAATAATATTAAATGCTATCAGTAAGTAAAACTGGAGTAATAGCAATACAGCTAAGCATGAATTATTAGTGTTTAAATTAGGTTTACCAATCAATGATATTATGGCACGCATTATCAAAAACCCATACTTTTGTTATCTTATAGCTTAATCAATTTACTATTGCTAAACTTATGTTTTCATGTAACAAAAAAAACTCACTTCAAATTATTCTTTAAAGCAGCTTTCAAAACCAAAATGTAAATATATACACTTCTGAAAGTACATTGCATCACAAAAATATGGAAAAAAATTATGTTTAAGATGACCTGTATAATATGCACACACATCTACATTCAAACAAACATCTACTTCACCAAACAAACATCCATTTCACAAGTTTATAACTATGACAGTAAATTAACTTTGTTAAATAACAAAGTCTTCAACTTGACCAATGAAGCTTCAACCTATTACCTTTAATATTCAATACTATTTTTCCAACAGTTTTATTCCATCACTACCCTTGTGTAGATTGTCCAAACCCATACCAATTTTAAGCACCTAAATCAAGTCACGTTCAGAGAAAGTGACCAAAAATTTAAGCTTCTCTTCACAGCTCCAACTGCTTAAACTTTGTGCATGTTATGTTTTGGAAGTCCTGTCTGCATTCTTCATAACATGATGGCATTCTTTTTTATCACTAGTATTAGATGTAAGTTGAGTGTACTTGTACTTCTCATATTGTAAATGATCATGTCTCATCTTTAGAAACAAAATGATGTACTAAAAATAATTGTAATATTTTACTAAAAACAGTTTCAAGAACTTTACAGAGAGAGAATAAAGATTTTTACACAGTGAGGGAATCTAAGTTTACTAATAAGGTTTTTGTAGTGGGGAGCATAGTACGATTAGTACTAGAATTTGCTTGCCAGGTGCTGAAGTTGAGGACATTATAGAGAATTTTAAGAGCTTAATTACTGGTATCAATGAACAAACTCTTTTGGACTAGAAGCAATTGATGTAAGAAGTTGTAATTCAGAATAGCTGTTTTAAAAGTAGAGTTGGGTGATTAGTGGAATTTACTAATCAATTAATTGTGGGCTAGTAAATCAATTACATTCAACTAATTGATTATTCTTATATGAGATTTGGATAGTTGGAATAATCAAAAATATTAATAATAGGAAACACTAATTTAAATTAATTGATTATTTTTGTGAGTTGTGAAACTAATTGATTAAGCTGAACAACCTTGAATTAATCAAAAATAATACAAAATCATAATGCCAATATTTTGATTGCTTGGAAGGTAATAATCACAAACAACAATTTTGATTAGTTCATTATGTACATGAAATTAATCTATTTAATCATAACTGCAATTAACCCTACAAATACAGGAAGGTCAAAGTGCTCATTTCACAAACTTCAGTTACATTTAAAATTTAATTAAACTACTTTATAAATAATATACAACAATAAGAATGGCATCAAAATGAATATTCTAATTCAAATTTTTATATGATCTAAGTTTTAATTTCTTAATTTCAAAACAAAATATTTCAATTCTCAATCTTCACTTCCTGTGTCACATGACATGTCTGCACTCTGAATTCCCCAATTTTATGGGTTGAAAGAAAATCAAACTAATTACAAATTCATATTATGAATACTGATAAGCCAGAATATAAAATTTGAATGTCCAATTTTTTGCTTTACCATGATATTACTAACTTTTCAACACCAACATGAGATGCCTTCTCTCCACCTCTCTTTGTCTTTCAAAATATGTCTATAACTCTCTCAGACATTGCTACTGGAGGTATTCTTAGTACATTCAGAGCTGTACAATGTATATTGTTATGGTTACAAGGTCAATAAGAACAGTTAATCAATTATTTTACATGACACTAGTCCATATAATCAATGTATCATAAGTAACTGATTATATCAATTCATCGAATTAACCACCCTGTTCTATTTAAAAATATGAAGAACTCCTTCAGAGGTTTAAGAACAGAATTAGACATGTGGCTTTTTAAAGAGTACTATCTCAGACAAAATGTGGAAATGAATTACTTAGCAGAACTAAGGCTTAAATGTAAGACTATCAGGAATATGCTTAGAGCTGGATAGATGTGTGGGATAATTTTCAAGGTAAGGGTAAATTACATTCTAGTAGAATACAGTATATGTAGAAGCTCTAAAATATTCATTAAAGGCAAGTTAAATTAAACTGTAAAATGGTGAGAGAAATTAGGAATAAACAACTTAACAGAACAGCTAGGGCAAAAAAATGAGACTGAAAATATCTACAGCATAGCAAGTTAAAAAGTACTTGTTGTAAGGAGAGAAAATCCACTGTATACTTTAAATAAAAGTCCAGAAGCACAGTAGTTTTGAAGATAAGTGTGTCAGATTTAAAGACATACTGTAGTATATTCACAAATAAGCTTAGTTCTATCATTTTTATATTAGGAGTATTAGAAGAAAATGAACGAGTTCAATAATCACGGGATACTTTAGCTTTAGACATATTTATTGGAAATGTATGAAGTTAAACAGTTAGGAAGAAAAGTTTCTTGCAGTGATACAGGATGATTTACTAAACCAAATGGTCAGAGATCCAACCAGAAAGGATGCTATTTTAAATTATTGTTAACCACTAATGAGGAAATAGTTGAAAGAGAGCAAGTAGGTAAAGATTTGAAGAAAAGTGATCATTGCTGGATAAGATTCAATGTTTCCCTACATGTTGAGATAAAAAATAAATAAAATTCTACTTCCTAATTTCCAGAATGCCAATTCTAAGGTCTTGAGACAAGATTATCATTAATGAGTTGGTATAATAAATCTAAAGATAATGTGAAACATGTTTGGGAATTTTTTTTAAATAAATTGCTTTCCATTCAAGATAGATATGTTCTAAAAAACATTCAAATCTAATTAGCTTACTGAAAACAAAGGAGAAAATCAGAAATAAATTTAAAAAGGTTGAAATGACAGAGAAGATAGAAGATTTATAGAACTATAAGAAAACTAGGGATATGGTTGAAAAAGAAATTGGGAAATCCAAAAAAAAGGTGTATGAGAAACTGTTCATTAATAAAAACTAACAGCAAGGATTTTACTGAGGATTTCAAAGGTATTCAAAATGTTTCTATTGGGACTGGGCTCTTAAAGAATGCTAATAGCAAGTTTTTTGTTCAATAATATTAGATGACTGAACCTTTATATTTTTTCTACTCTTCTTTTATACAAGAGAAGATATTAGCTCTATTCTTGGCCCTGAGCATTTTATGGTGGTAAGTAGAAAGACTTGGAGATTAAAAAATTGATAAAGCTCAAGGACAAGGTTTTTCAACACAATTATAAAAATGATCAAAGATCAAATATATGAGAATCTATTTAATTTTTGGTAGGTCAACAAACAGTTCGCAAGTATCCAATGATCAGAGAAGTGCTAATGTTAGTCCTATGGGATGATAACTGTTGCCCTAGAAATTACAGGCAGGTTAGTCTTCTTCAGGAGTGGGAAATATATTAAATCACTTGCAAAATAATTTCTTGAAATGTGGCATCATAAAAGGAAGTTAACATGGATTCACTATAGAGAAATCTTGCCTTACTAGCCTATTATCTTTTTTTCAAGAATTTTAAGTGTATTGAGATGATGGAAAGGGTGTACTTAGACTTTCAAAAATCATTTGATAAGGTACCATATAGAAAATCAGCTATGAAATCACAATAGTATGGGTTGGTAAAAAACTAATTAATTTAACTGTATGGTTTATTGATTGGAGGAGAGAACACAAAAAGTTATTAATTCAGTCCATGAAAACTGAACCTTTCATACTAGTGGTGTATCTCAGAGTCAATGGTTTGACCTTTGCTTTTTCTTATTTACATTAACTATCATTGATAAAGATGTAATTAATAGAATTGGGGTGCTTAATGAAATTTGCTAATTTATTAATCATCAGGCTTATTAATTGATTATATTCAACTAATTGATTATCCTCACATGAGTTTTTAACTAACTTTCCTTTAATATGATAGACATCTTAACTTACTTTTTCAAACCTAAACTATTTTACATGAAATTATATCATACATGCAACATAATACAAAACTCGTAACAAGTTGAAAATACAATAACTGTTCCATGGATTTTTCTCTAGAAATTTTCACAAGACTATCAGAACTACTGAATTTGTACTGCTGAAAATAAACATTATTTCATAAAATTTATTATAAATAAGAAAAACAATAAGTATAATATTCTCAAGTTTGTACTGGATGTCACTCTTGTACATAATCTTTAAAAGATTTCACTATTATTATCAGTATAGTAAGGGGTGTTGCATGACCAGTCAGTCAATAAAGTTGAGAAAAAAAACAACTAAGATTGTTATGGAAAACTGGGATATTTATTACTGAATAAGGTAAATTCTTTGTTAAAAATAATTGTTGTTAAAAGAAAGTATACCCTTGTTACAGAGAACCAGGATATATGACTTCAATACAATATTACTAAATAAATTAAAAATAATTGTCCTTCGATTTCATGTGATGAAATCAGTTGATTTCTTTCATAGTGTACAGATAGTATAATTGATTCCAATCCTAGAAAAGTTGATATTTTGCTACACTGAAAATATATTTCTAATAGATACCTACCTCCTCTCACAGTTACAGCTATTCTCAATTTGACTGCCCTATAGAATTTTCACTTGCCATAAACTTAAAACTCCCACCTAATTCCACATATATACCACATGGTTCAGCTGCATTTAAGCATGCAAGTTTGCATACAACTATCCTCCACCAGTAACAGCTAGAATCTCATACTGCACAGGTGAAGGGACCAGCATAAAATTACCTAGAATAGCATCCTTCAAAAAGCATCTGAAGAGTACCCATAGAGTGTGCCCTCTCTATGGAGAGAAAACACACTAGTGGGAGACTGCACCACGTCTGAACCATGTATACTCTTTGCCCATGTCAAGCCAACTGGTGTGGTGTCACAATCAAAGGGTGGAACGAGACAATAATTCCAAATCCCCAAGGAAGAGGAATGCATGTCAGATCATAAGCAGGAGACCAACTCCAATCCAGACCCATGATACCAGAAGGAACTCGACTGGTCCATGATAGGAGGAAGGTCCTCAACCATTCTCCTCAGATCTAGGAACCAGAAGGAAAGAGGAGCCTCCATTTCAAGAACCTAAATCATCATGTTGTCAAATCCAGCATAACCTGCAGCAAAAAATCCCTGAAATGTACATCTGGATGACATCAGGAAATTGCAATTGCAACGTGGAGGGTCAATTCCAGTTCAACATCAATTGCATTTTAGGATGTAAACATTCAGTTCATTGTAGGAGAAAGCTCCCAATAAACTCACATGTGAGGACTTATGTTGGCTGGTACAGCCCCAACCAAAAACAGTTGCCCAGGAACTGACACCCAGGTGGTGGTAGGAGGAAGGGTTCCCAGCCATAGGTCCAAACTGTAAAATAGATAGAAAAAATTACACAAAAATAACTTACTCACTCAGATTTGTACCGACATATTGAGAATGGCTACAGAAGGAAGGCGATATCCAGCTGAGAAGGAAATTCCAGGTGGTACAAGATGCATGACACAAAGGTGTGGGGAGTGGTCTACATGCCGGCCTGGATAATCTCCTCCAGAGGACAATGGAAATGAGCAGCCAAGGATCTGATGGGATAAAACACAGAACAATTGTCAAGATTCAGGAGAAAGGGAGTGAAAGCCATGGAAGAGTGATGTTCACAACACTTAACACTGTAAAGTATGGACTAGACACAGGAGACGAACCAGCTCAGAGCAAGAGTAAATTTGGGATATGGAAAGAAGGGAAACAGAGGTGAAGGCAAAACTGCCTTCTTGAGCAGCTGATGTTTTGGGAAGGAAGAAACATACAGGATGTAAAAGGACACAGGTTTTGTGGTACAAAATGCAGTGAACATCGATGGTGAACAAGTTTAACCAGCAGTGATCACAAGCCAAAAGAAAAGGTAAATACATTTTCAAGGAAAGGTAATATAAGGAACATAAGCCTATCGGTTTGAAGGGAGGAATGGAAAGGGCATGGAAAACAACATTTACATTCCAGTCTGGCGATTGACTGGTAGAACAAGGACAATGGAGACACTTTGACTGAAATAAAAGGGAAATAACTGGAGAGGAAAATACACAGCAAAAATGAGAAAAACAAAAAGCAGATGACAGGGCTGCCCTAAAGCCCACAATGGTTGAAATGGACAGACTCGTGTTAATCAACCATGTAAAAAATCCATGTTGGATAGACCAATGATGGAATATACTTCACTGATGTTTATACACAAAAATGAAAAATGGACAGAGTGAGACAACAAGGATGCTACACACATGGATTGTCCCAAACCCCTCGCAATGGACCTGACAAAAATCATGCATGAAGCTGGAGTGTGGGAACAGAAGGATGATGCACCCCTGAGTGAGGTTGCTGGAGGAGGGACCACAAGAAAGGGAGTGGTAGTGGAGGTAGTTATTGGAGGAAGGACAGGGATAGAAACTAATGTTGAGCTGGCCAGAAATGAACCAAAAGAAGGACTCCACACAGAGTGGATTGGATGAGAGAAGTTACTTAGGGGTAGAAGACAGATGGGAGGGTATGTATAAAGGAAAAGGTCCTTCAATCCTGGCTGAATGTATCCACGGCCAAAGCCAAAGGATGTGGAACTGGGGACCGAAAGAAACAAAGTTGGGTATTCAATGGAGTGACATATGCATATGGCTGGGGAGTACCCAACTGAAAACATAGCCATCAGAATACCTGGGGGTCAAAGGACCACTCCATGAGTACAATTGTGTCAGGATGGGACAGACAAACCATAACAAGGTTGAGAGCACCCAGTATATGACAAGCCAACAAATGAAGTTGATGGCAGTGAGCCCAGAAAAGGATCTCTACAGTATGGGAATATAAGGAATAGGATTGAGTGCCCCCTTGTCAGGTGATGTAAGAGACAACCATCAAGTTGTCATAATGAATCATAACTGTCATGCCATGCAGAGATGACAGAAATTGAACCATCACTCAACAAACAGCAAGGAGTTATAAGGAGGCATATGTGAAGACATGGAGGAGGAATAAATAACCCCACTGTCATGTTGTCCCTGTCTAATCACCAGAGGAAGTCAGACTGAAGGGAAGCAGGAAGAGATATCTGTAAATCCAGAGGGTCCCTGATGAGGTGTCACTGATCTTGTAGTACCCACTGCAAGGAACACAAAAGAGACAGAACCTCTCACTCAGGAAAAGAAGGTGTTGATAGTGCCCTCTGAACTGAAAACTCTAAGGCTCACAAACAAATAGGAGAAGGCTGGGCTTGACTCAGATGTCAGTTGATAAAAGAACAAGATATTGGGTGGGGATGGATAACGGACTTCTCCACTTTGATAATTCAACCCACCCAAGCAGCTTCTCTGATGAGAAGTTGCTTGTGTGTGGACAAAACATAGATAATGACGTGAAGCCCAAGTGATAAGGATGTGAAGATAAGCATTGGACATACTGGATCTCATCATCCAAAGCCATGGAGGAAAGGAACATCTGGGAGACAGGTAGGATTCATTGGTAAACTGAGGCACATTGAAGAAGTGATTCAGATGGAAGAGTTCAAAAACAGGATACCGATACCCAGTCCTCTTGGGACCGAAAAAAATCAGGAATAGAATCCTGGAAGCACAGGTAAAACCTGTTTGATGGTACCCTTAATAAGAAAGTCTTGAACCACTTTTGTGAGACACTGGTGAGAAATGGGATCTTGAGGAGGGGAAAGGAACTGGAACAGGGGATAAGGCAGAATATGAGAGGAAAAGGAGAAAGAGTCCTTCTGACAAAACTCAAATGTCCCAAGGGTTTGCTGAACAATGATATGCAATTTCATGAGCCTCTGCAAAACATGGGTAGCATGGCATACTAACCCCTGAATGTAATTGATGTGGAAAACATTTGGTATAGAACCCAATATTAGTCAGGGGGTGGATTTAAAACACAAAACTAGGTGCTGCAGTTAATAAGAAAGGGGAAGGATCAAATGACATGGGTGACAAATACAAAACACAACATACCTGTGATATCAAGTCTAAAAATGGTGACTGAGGTCTAGGTGCTTCAACAGGCTGAGAACATGCCTGCACAGCAAAGAAAGGGAGGGAGGGGGGGGGCTGTTCAAGTCCACATCCTCCTGATCTAAGTTCTCAGGTAATGGCAGAATTGCTTGTAGACAAGGAGATCCTTGGCCTGCATGAATGAAGCCGTCTCTCAATGAACAAAGTCTGACACTTCTTCCACCAATAATGCCACATCTGCAGCCATTGTAATCGTAATACTAAGTTGTGAATTCATAAATACTGACTGACTACTAGTAATTGAGTGAGAAACAGAAATCACAATCAAATAAAGAAATCCAACTTGACAGTGGATTATAAACAATACTTTGAGATGCAAAAATCAGTAACTGAATATTTACAAAACACACTAAAGAAGAAAAAATGTTTGAAACCAAGCACTAGATCGTAACACTGTAATGCCAAATCGAGAAGTGAAGATTGGGTTCAACTGCATAGAGGGAGTCAACTGCAATAAGAGGGATTGTCACACTCCTATTATTGGATGATTGTCGCACGCTAATTTAAATGCTTAAATGCAGCTGAACAACTTGGTATACAAGTGGAATTAGGTGGGAGTTTCAAGGCTAGTGGTGAGCAAAATTTTATGCATTAGAGGGCAGTCAAATTGAGAATAGCTGTAACTGTGAGAGGTGGTAAGTAATCGTATCAGAAATACTGTTCAATGTTTACTTTTGGCAAGAAAACTTTGATAATACTGGACTACCTCTTTGCAGAGATTAAAATGATTAATAAGGTGGAAATTAAAATATTATAAGAAATATTAAAAACCTCATAATACCAAAAACATCTTTAATCATCAAAGTTTCAGATTTTATTTTAATTCCATTATCAATATGAAAAACGTGAAAAATAATTAGCAGCTTTATAAGTAAAAATACATTATAAGCTTTTATGTCAGTTTGTGTTGTTACTGATGGAAGTTTAGAAATAACGCATTAAAAAAATTAATGTGTTTACATTTAACAGTATGGGCTAGAAGAAACTGTAAGAATACACATACTGAGAATTCAATACAACAAACAACTTAAAGGAAGTGTTTAAGCAGAAAATTATGACAGCCAGACTTTTTCTTTTTGTGTCTTTCCTGTCTAGCTAGAGATAGTCTAATTAAGCTAGAGTCCTGTTCATGTAAACAGGTTGATAGCTTAATGGTGTTACATATTGTTTGACTATTAGTAGTCCAAGTCTAATTATTTCTAAATAAAACAGTTAGATAAGCAAGTTATTCAGCAAGCAATATTTTTTGAGCTAGTAACTTTTTGTTGTTTATTTGTTTGCTGTAAAGCACAAAGCTACACAATAGACTATTTATGCTATGTGCACCATGAGTACTGAAACCTGGTTTTTAGCATTATAAGCCTCCAGACTTACCACTTAGTGATTGAAAAAAAAAAGGAAAAATTACACTATGCATCTAGTTCAAAATTATAATAATTAATTCATTCCATCACGTCTATATAAAAATATAGCCTTTCATGTATTTACAGTTCTAAAATTAAGATAAATTTTAAATTCTACATATTACTAGCAAAATGCAGACAAATGTAATTTTTAACTGAGTCCATTTGTAATACCTACTACTGTCGCACATACATGTAAATCATCTGTTACAGTGGCTTCTAACTTTCAGAACAATCAATTAATCATGCAGTGTGAAATAACATTTGTTTGGCCCTAAAGTTAAGCCAGTTTACAAAATTTACAACTCTTGTGCTAAATACACATGTATACAGTGTGTTGAAAATCATTGACATTTTGTATATAAACTTCAACACAAATGTGGAGCATTTAGCAATTTTCTGCACAATTTAACCATAGTATGTCAGACTAATTACATAGCAATCATTGAAATAATGTTATGCACAAAATAAACTGAACTATATTAAAACTGAAAGTAAAAGAAAAATACTTTGAAGCAAGTATTAAAAACAACCTTTTTTTCCATTACTTTGAATAACTGTTGTCATGAGAAAATTTTCACTCAAGTGTAGAATTATCTAATAAAAATTAAATATACATATATTTGTTATTTTTTAATTGCATTTTCTCATGTAATGAAAATAAGAACTATTATTTTTGAAAGACCATTTGTTGATTTTCATGTTAATTCATGACTGAAAGCTTGTAATGGTTGATGTTTGTTAATGTATGACAAATTGCCTGAGAGACTGGTGAGATTATGTTTTTATATGTGCTTGGTGACCTATGATTTTCTAATTAATCAACTACTGAAAATATACTTATTTATAATAAAAAAGTAGAAAACTTAAAGTATAAAAGCTGAGTTACTGCACTGCAGAAAGCATTACTTGAAACTACACAGACTGGTTAGTAGTTTTCCTGAAAAGATGCGTCATTTCCAGAAAAAAGATGATGCATCAACACTATCAATTCCCTTTACAATCTTAAACACCTCAATCTGATCCCATCTAACTCTTCTTTTTTCAAGAGAAAACGAGTTCAGAAATCTTAACCTATCCTCATATAATAACATTTCCACCCAAGGTATCATCCTAGTAGCCCTCCTCTGAACTCTTTTCAACCATTTAACATCCTTTCTAAGGTAAGGAGCCTAAGACTGAACATAATACTCCAAATGGGGTCTAACCAATGACATTATAAAATATTTTAGACTTGTATTCAATATTTCTGTACACATAATCTAAAACCTTATTTGCCCAGCCAACTAATGACAGCACATTGCTTGGATGGCTAAGAGAATAGTCAATCAGAACATCAAAATATTTTTCTTCCATAATATTGTTAAGATTATTGCCATCAAAATCATACTTATAATTCAAATTAGGATACCCCAGATGCACTACCTTACATTTATAATAACTAGAAGTTATCTGTCATTTATTTAATCAACTCATCAAATAATCCAAATCCTTTTATAAGACAGTAACATCCTCCTCATAACCAGCAGCACCCAAAAATTTAATGTCATCAGCAAATTTAATTACTCTACTGACCATTCCTTCAACTGTGTCGTTGATATAAATCAAAAAGAGCAAAGGTCCTAAAACTAAGCCTTGAGGTACCCCACTCTTAACATTAATCTAGTTTGAATGAATTCCATTTATAAAAACCCTCTGCTTTCTTCCATCCAGCTCTAGATGTGACTTGACTTAGGTGTTCAAAATTATCATGGGTTTGGACAATCTCCACATGATTATATGATGGAATGAAGATGTTGGAAAAACAGTCTTGAATATTAAAGGCAATAGAGGCACAGATGAAGACTTTGCTATTTAACAAAGTTAATTTACTGTTATAGTTAGAAATAAAACATTAAATATGACATGCAACATTTTTAAGCTTTTGTAAACTACAAAAAAGAAGCTAAAAATAATAAATAATTCCAATGAAAACCTTATGAAGAAAAAGAAACACAGTTTCGTTACTAATTTTTTTACAGAAAAAAAAGGTTCCTAAGCTCCTCAATATTTTTAAAGGTGGGTAGGACTTGATCTTACAACACAAATTTCATTTCTCTTTAAAAAAAACAGTTTAATAAATGCTTAGAAAATATTTTCTGGGAAAATATAATACCAGCCCTGATCACCCTAATGAGATTTATTCCAAATATTGAAAATACTTTGCAGGGAGATAAATAAATTTATTTTCTTGCTACTGGAAAAATTAGTGATGACTAAAAGGTTGCTAACAGTCTCAAATTTGAAAAAGAAGGGAATAGGGGAGAAACCTAGTAAACCCTAGGCATATTTCATGTATTTGGACAACTTCTGTAAATGCTATGTAAAAAAAATGTATCATATGGTTTCTAAGTTATTAACAAAAAAATCAAAACATTTCTCATTGTTTTAAAGTACTTTTTATTAAAGACAAGTATTAAGCCATCCAAATATACCATCCTAGTATATATATATATATGTTTTGGGCAAATTTTAAAAATTTATAGCTAATGGGAACTCTCAAGTCGTCCTCTTCATTGCATGCAAGACCTAAATAATATAACCCTGGTTAAGTTTGTAGCATGTAATAAGTAAGCAATATAGTAAGTTAATGCTACATTATTGTTCAGTCCAAACAACACACATCATTGTGGCTAGTTAATTAATCTTTGGCCACTAGTTCACACCTTCCCACTTGCAAGTTGTATACAAACATAACACACGCATAACGCTGTACCAATAGAAGTAGTATTATCTATGGGGTTTTGAGTCTGTTCTAATACACCATATAGTAACCTAAGTTAATTTAGGTATGTGAATAATGTTATGACAGTTCCAGTGAAAAAGAAAAATCTTCAACACATAAAAGTAATAGTAGTTATCACATTGCATGTGATTTCAGTTAGTATGTATCTGAAACTCAGCAAGTTTGTTTGAATTATGGTAAAGCTACAAAGACTATTTAATGTAATCCCTAATTTTGAACTGCCAGCCAGAGAGAAGGCAACTGGTTGTCAATACCAATTGCAAACTCTTGGGCTACCAAGCATACTTGCTCTATTAGACATAAGGGCATTATCATGTCACAGTCAATTCCAATATTCATTGGTAAAAGATAAATCCATTTATTAGTAGTGGGTGTTCTTACCTTCTCTCTGATTGACAATTCAAAACTAGAGAAAACTATTGTAACTCAAAAATCAAGCACCAAATATAATGCCTCCATGTTTGGTAATAATGGAAATTGAATCTGAAACAGAAACCATGAAGCAACTCCCCTAATCACTGAGATTTAATTATAAACATATTGATTACAGCTCAAAACATGTAATTATCTTATAAATCACTAGTTTGGCCTCAGTTAGAGTATAGTTTTGTTCTCCTTATTTAAGAAAGAATATTGACTTACTGGAGAAGCTTCAGAGGAAGGCTACTATGAAGATTATCTCAATTTAATTTCTCTGCAGAAAGCATTGGTAATAGATGATCTTATTGAATATTACAGAAATATCCAGGGAATCAGTAAGACAAATACTTTTTAATTTTTTATGCTGTGTTCTAAAGACAATAGGATGAGAAAACACCAATTTAAAATTTATAAAAGGTGGGCTAAGCTCCAATTAAGATAGTTTTATTTTTTAAGAGGGTGATTAGCATACAAAATGAGTTGCCATAAATAGTAATTGAGACCAGCATCTTAAACTTTACAAGAAGAATAGACGATTTTCTGAAAAATAAACGTAGACTTAAAGTTTTATTTTTTTCTCAAGGGTGGGTGAACATCCTTACAATTTAATAACCCAGCCATCTCATAATCATCAGATACTAGCCTTCCTTTACCATCCCTCAAATATAATTTGTTCAAATGCAATGTATATCATTCTAAATGCTTTGCATATTTCATAATATACTGCAAGAATTGGTCACATTTTTACAGCTATATTAATTGATGCATCCACTCACCAAGGATCA